ATGGTATAAATAGATTAAAGTTCTCGGAACTTGTCCTGGGGAATTTGAAGATGTGGTGAAGCAATTGGAGGAAGCAACTGGTTCTGTGGTGGTTGGTCAAATTGGTCGGACTGTCATTATATATAGGCCAAGCCTCACCAAATTGGAGTTAGAGGAGAAGAAGAGACAAGCTCGTAGAGTTTATGTGAGAAGAGAATCAAAATTTAAGCCTACATTACCAGTAAGAACAAAGATAACCCCCTATTCAGAATTCTTTGACATTCTTTTGTTTTGCAGATAATTGGTGTTGCCCCTTTTTCTTAATCTTTCTAATTGTCTATTTGATGTTTGCATGCAGAATGTTCGAGTGCCACGACTTTCTGGACGTGGACGTCGGGGAAGCAGCCGATTCTGAGCTCAAACTCCCTTGTCTATCGTTTCTTAGAACTCTGTTTACAGCAGCCCTGGTGCTCACATATGGGGATCTCTTGATCTTCTCATACAAGGACTTTGCTTGTTTGAGCTACTGTATCTGGGAAAACTCATCTTGGACTTCCTGGTGGCAAATATATCCAGAGAGACTTTTGGTTATGGAAGGGTGCATATAGCTAATCCCAGACCAGATATGATTTGCGTGTGACAATAATTGGTTGGAAGATGGCGAGGTAGGTTTTATGTGATCCTTTTCGGGTGGAAATATTTTCGTGTAGTCAATAATGTATGTACTTAATATTTGCTTCTGAACAATTAAATTAATTAACCATTAACAGATACTAGATCAAGATTATTAAATTTCCTTTATGTTTTTCAATTTAGCCTTACTTGTCAGTTGTCACTTGTCTCGCGCGGTCGCACTGCACCTGCCTCTGAGTGAGCATGGTTTTTTTTTCTCTCCTTCTCTTCTGTACAGTATATGTGCATACAGGTAGATAACTTGGGTATCTGTCGCATGGTCTCCATAGATAAGCTTTAGCTTTAGTTTACTCTTCTCAATGGCCGGCGTTAGGTTAAAAGAACCTTAAATGCAGAAGCTCCAGAGTTTTTCCCCAGTGCCGAAACAGTAGCCAAGTCGATGAAGTTTCCTATCTTACCTCATATCTACAAACTTCCCCCTTTTCTCCACTCGAAACCCTTACTTCCCTATGTAATCACGAATGGCCGCTGACGTCATATAAAACTACCTATCTTACTGGAAACATGACGCAGTTTGATGATTTTGCATGCGCTGCGGGCGTAGCTACATCAACAGAACCAGTTCCTTTCTGGGTGAGTATGCCGGATGAGCAAACTATTTGACCGGTGATGAAGCAGTGGAGGAGCCAAAATTTGGTTCAAAACGGTACTTACCGAAGAAAAGTAAAAGAGGCGTGCAGGAATAGGTTTCTTTTGAGACCAGGGTTTAGAGGACCTCATGATAGTCAAACTGATAGGCAGGAATGGAGGCGTAAAAGTAGGAATGGCGAGAATGGCGGGTACAGTCGTTTGATATGGTAAATTTCCAGGGATCCGAGAAATGTAAATTACAGGGCTGCGGCCCAAGATGAAACATGCTGTGCTTCTGAAAATGATGGTCTAAATACTACTGTGATGATCAGAAATATTCCCAATAAATTTACGTATGATCGTTCTCATGTGGGCTTTTTCCTTTCTCTCCCTTTCTTAGTCACTGTCCATACAGTTTGCCAAGTTTGTCTTACGCTTTGGCTTTTTTCTTCAGTCGTGAAATGATTGAAATTCCGACGATCATTGCATGGTGGAGAACGAAAAGGCTATGGTCCAGAATTCAGTTGCAGCAGAGGAAGAATCAGCCATCGTGTCAGCGTTTGATTTCTTGTATTTGCCAATAGCTTCCAGTATGTGTTTCCAAGTCAAGATGGTTCTATCTTAATAAATTTCAATACCAGAAAACTGTCATTACAGTTAATAAATTCCATTATTAATGCAAGCATGATGAGTTCATTTACTGCCGTGTAATGCGTGCAGAAATCGCGTAACAAAGGCTATGCCTTTGTGATTTTACCCATCCAAGAGCTGCGTGGAAGTTTTATCGCATCTCACAATCAACCTGGGGAGCTTTCAGGTCAAACAAGATCCGCGAGATTTCCTGCGCAAGACCTCAGGTATAGACCACAGTATTCTTTTGACAATTTTATATGTCAATGTCATATCTCTTCCTTTCTTGCTCTCTCTGTACAGGGAAAGGCGGAACTGGTGCGGCACTTTGAGAAGATTGCGTTTCCTTGTGGGGAGAAAGAAGAGTACTTGCCGGTATGTTCACACCAGCTCGCGATGGTTCCAGGGAGAAGGTGAACCAACGCACTGTTGGGAGATGTGAGGCGCTATGATCACTGGCAGAGCACGCGTACAAGTTGCAGAAAGTCAAAACCATTTCTAGCTCTGACCTTTGACATGGTGCATACTCTACTTGACTGTCACTGTCATTGTCACTGTCACGTCTTGTCACTGTCACTGTCATGGCTCCTGTAGAAGAAGGCTCCAAAGTTCGTTCAGTTCCTGTGTTGTAAATTGTCTTAGTTTGGTTTAGTTTTCTGTTTAGTTCAGTTTAAATAAAAGCGGTCCAGTTCGATGAGGAAGCGTACGGGGGTGGACCTTGCCACCTGATCCGGTTGATCATGTTTATGTAAGGACGGTTGTGGGTTCCACCCTGAAGATATGCGGTTGTGATTAGTGCGGCAGCTTCCTGTGTTATTAATCTTAATCTTATGTGTAATAAGTAATATCGAGTCGGAGAACCAGATACTCATCCTTTATAAACCAATCTTAAGTTTAAGGGTAACGATTCATTTACACCGTTCATTAAATCATTTTCATTATATCATCACTGTTTTATTAATAATTATTTTATTATAATATTAAAATTTTAAAATAATTAAAAATTTATGTAGAGGTGAAATATATCACATCATGGTGATGTAATAAAAAATATATAATGAGTAATATAAATATAATATTATTCATGGGTTTAATACAGTTTCGTCTCTCAAGCTCGGTGCTACATCGTTTCACCCCATTTTTCTTTTTGTTCCGTGGTAAGGAGTTTTATTTGTATCTCAACTAATTTATTTGTGTGGATCTTAACTAGTTGTTTGAATTTTAACGGGTGTTTGGTTGACGGTAATATCATATTATTGGGGTAATGTCATCTTATATTACTTGATTATCACGTTTGGTTATTAAGTAATATAAGATTCTGATAATCTTCAAATACCAATAGTAGTTACTATTGATAATATTAGAGGTAATCTGATTACTTCAATTTTCTTAGGTATTATTAGATTATCAGGGTTATCTTTTTTTGTTACAATTTTATCCTTTATTAATGAAAATTTTGGATAATAATGTCCTCATTTTAAAATAAATTTACATTAATATCCTATTTCAATTTTACCCTTGTTTAACTAAAATTTTGGACAATAATGTCTTTATATTTAAAATAATTTACAGACCATCACTGCCACTTAGCCACAACCACCACCACCACCACCACCGTCGAAAGCGGTCAACCACCACGGATTGCCGTCAAAAAATCGTCAGAGTCCCTAAAAAAGAACGACTTTCGGTGGGAGGCTTTGATATGACCGAAAATGGCCATATCAGGCCAGATCTGGTCAGAAACGGCTATATCGAAGCCTCTTGGTCACGGTGAACTGTTGATGGGGACTTTCGGAGACTTCCAGCGGTGGTCTGCGGTGGCGGCAGGAGGTGAGGGTGATTTCGTAATAAATTAAAGTTTTATATAAGCGGGGGTGTTTTAACTAAATCTGAAATATTGGGGATTAAAAGAAATTATTCAAAAATTAATAATAAAAATAATATTATATTAATATTTGAAAATGGGACAATTTAGTAATTTAAATAACATACCCACCAATTTATTCCTCATAACTAAACATATTAATATAACATACCCACTTACTAACCAAACACATTTTCTTAAAAATTCCCAGTAATCTTCCAAGGTAATACATCTTTCCAGTAATCTAACATTTCTGAACCAATCGCCCCCTTAAAGTTAAAGATAGAAATAGGTAAAAAATTCAGTCCAAAAAACCTTATCCCAAGGTTTGGTCTCATTACCCTATCTCACGACCAGTTTGGGCCTTGGGGAGGGGTGATCGGGCCTAGGTCAGGCTTGGGCTTGACTATACTAAATTATCAAGCTTACATAGGACTGGTCTTATATAGGCTAGGTTTGAGTTTGGGATCGGTCTGAGCTCTCACAAAAGTGACAACCTAGGATCGGTACCAATCAATTTGGAGATCTGGCCTAAATTAGGATCGATCCTTGAGGGCTTGGATTCCGTTTGTCCATCTCTAATTAACGATCAGGTAAATCTTTTAATGATCATCTTTATTAACAATAGAAAGGAATGAACTAAAAGAGAATTGAAATTTAATACATTTAACAGTTTTCTTTCATCTCACTTGATCGCCCAAGATGGTCTTTTTACCCCAATTTTGGTTGCTGAAAGTGTCGGTTGACCAAAACCATTTGCCACTTTTCCTAAAGTGAAAATAATCAGATGTTTATCAAAACCATTAATCTATTTTTTCATGATTATATATATCTTATGGGCCTTTATTTGGAGGTTTCACTTCAAAATCACATGGTAAATTTTTTTTACACAACCTTAGGGGTGAGTGTGTTACTGTCGTTGAACCTTGAGGGGGTAAATGAAATGTTTCAATACTTAAAAACAATATTTATTAATTTATTTTTACATAATTTAGTATTTAATTTTTCAAATTAGTAACAACTCTAAAATTCTTTTGACTTTAATTAATAATGATTTGTAGAAATTTCTTTTAAATATTTTGTGAATTTACCTGGAGAAAATTGTTATTCTCTTAAATTTCAACCTGTTTTTCTACCCCATTAATTACTTTGAAAAACTATCTTTTCCTCACTTAAAATTCTAAGGTATATTTTTAAAAGGTTTTGAGTTTGAATCCCTATAACTATTAATAAAAGGTACTCATTGAGATGTATTATTCAAGAGGTTATAAATTTGAATTCTCACGACTATTAATAAAAGGTAATTATTGAAAGATTTTTTAACCGTTAACTTCGTACCTTGAGTGAATAGTTAAAATGCGCTTAAATTGACCTGAATATTCCTTACAAACAAAAAAAAGATTTACTTTGAATCGTCCGCGATGGTAAATTATCAAAGAAAATGCGAAGAAATTCTTTATATTTTGTAAATTAATTATGGGATAAATTAAATTAATTAACCATTAACAGATACTAGATCAAGATTATTAAATTTCCTTTATTAGTTTTTCAATTTAGCCTTACTTGTCAGTTGTCACTTTGTCTCTGCGCGGTCGCACTGCACCTCTGCCTCTGAGTGAGCATGGTTTTTTTCTCTCTCCTTCTCTTCTGTACATGTATATGTGCATACAGGGTAGATAACTTGGGTATCTGTCATGCATGGTCTCCATAGATAAGCTTTAGCTTTAGTTTTACTCTTCTCAATGGCCGGCGTTAGGTTAAAAAGAACCTTAAATGCAGAAGCTCCAGAGTTTTTCCCCAGTAGCCGAAACAGTAGCCAAGTCGATGAAGTTTCCTATCTTACCTCATATCTACAAACTTCCCCCATTTTCTCCACTCGAAACCCTTACTTTCCCTACTGTAACTCAGAATGGCCGCTGACGTCATATAAAACTACCTATCTTACTGGAAACATGACGCAGTTTGATGATTTTTTGCATGCGCCTGCGGGCGTAGCTACATCAACAGAACCAGTTCCTTTCTGGGTGAGTATGCCGGATGAGCAAACCTATTTGACCGGTGATGAAGCAGTGGAGGAGCCACAACTTTTGGTTCAAAACGGTACTTACCGAAGAAAAGCTAAAAGAGGGCCGAGCAGGAATAGGTTTCTTTTGAGACCAGGGTTTAGAGGACCTCATGATAGTCAAACTGATAGGCAGGAATGGAGGCGTAAAAGCAGGAATGGCGAGAATGGCGGGTACAGTCGTTATGATCATGGTGAAATTTTTTCCAGGGATCCGAGAAATGTAAATTACAGGGCTGCGCCGCCCAAGATGAAACATGCTGTGCTTCCTCTTGAAAATGATGGTCTAAATACTACTGTGATGATCAGAAATATTCCCAATAAATTTACGTATGATCGTTCTCCATGTGGGCTTTTTCCTTTTCTCTCCCTTTCTTAGTCACTGATCCATACAGTTTGCCAAGTTTGTCTTACGCTTTGGCTTTTTTCTTCAGTCGTGAAATGTTGATGAACTTCCTTGACGATCATTGCGTGGTGGAGAACGAAAAGGCTATGGTCCAGAATTCAGTTGCAGCAGAGGAAGAATCAGCCATCGTGTCAGCGTTTGATTTCTTGTATTTGCCAATAGACTTCCAGTATGTGTTCTTCCCAAGTCAAGATGGTTCTATCTTAATAAATTTCAATGCCAGAAACTTGTTCATTTACAGTTAATAAGTTCCATTTATTAATGCAAGCATGATGAGTTACATTTACTGCCTGTGTAATGCGTGCAGAAATCGCGTTAACAAAGGCTATGCCTTTGTGAATTTTACCCATCCAAGAGCTGCGTGGAAGTTTTATCTTGCATCTCACAATCAACCTTGGGGAGCTTTCAAGTCAAACAAGATACGCGAGATTTCCTGCGCAAGACTCCAGGTATAGACCACAGTATTCTTTTGACAACTTTATATGTCAATGTCATATCTCTTTCCTTTCTTGCTCTCTCTGTACAGGGAAAGGCGGAACTGGTGCGGCACTTTGAGAAGATTGCGTTTCCTTGTGGGGAGAAAGAAGAGTACTTGCCGGTATGTTTCACACCAGCGCGCGATGGTTCCAGGGAGAAGGTGAACCAACGCACTGTTGGGAGATGTGTAGGCGCTGTGATTTCCACTAGCAGAGCAGGCGTACAAGTTGCACAAAGTCAAAACCCTTTCTAGCTCTGACCTTTGACATGGTGCATACTTCCTTACTTGCTACTGTCACTGTCATTGTCACTGTCACTGTCATTGTCACTGTCACTGTCATGGCTCCTGTATGAAGAAGGCTCCAAAGTTCGTTCAGTTCCTGTGTTGTAAATTAGTCTTAGTTTGGTTTAGTTTTTCTGTTTTAGTTCAGTTTAAATAAAAGCGGTCCAGTTCGATGAGGAAGACGTACGGGGGTGGACCTTGCCACCTGATCCGGTTGATCATGTTTATGTAAGGACAGGTTGTGGGTTCCACCCTGAAGATATGGACGGTTGTGATTTAGTGCGGCAGCTTCCTGTGTTTATTAATCTTAATCTTATGTGTAATAAGACTCAATATCTCTTTTGCTTGAATCAATCTGTGTAATTTTCGACTATTCGATTCATGCCGCCGATTGTGCATGAGAAAAAAAAAAACAATCTAATGGATGAAGAATCGCGTGAAAAATGGGGTGTTGCGAGAATCGAACTCGCGACCTCTCGCACCCGAAGCGAGAATCATACCACTAGACCAAACACCCAGATCTATGTGAGATGTACCTGTTTTAATATTTTGAAACTATAATACAGCCATCAAAACCCCGACTTCTAAAAGATTAAGTATGGTAAAACCCATCCAAGAAAAATCTTAGCAGAAGGCAATGGCAACAACGCTCAATTTCTTGCTGAGGCCCTTATGCATCTCCACAACCTCTTCAATCCTTTCAAAGTTTCCCCTTCGTAGAGCCACTCACCTCTCTTCTGTCTCCACTCCTTCTCTTCTCTTCTCTCAGTCTGTCTCCTTTTCTCGTACACCCACTAGAGCCTTTACTCCAACCGCTTCTTTGTCACAACTACAAGAAGAACAAGGAGAGGACCAGGATATTGATTATGAAATTGAGGAATCTGAAGCTGAGCATATATATGAAGAGGCAGAGAACGTTGGAAGCGACGAAAGGAAGAGTTTTGATAGTGGGAAGGGGGTCGAGTTACCGACTTTGACGGTGAAGGAAAAGAAAGAGTTGGCGTCTTATGCACACAGTTTGGGGAAGAAGTTGACTTGTCAAATAGTGGGCAAGGGTGGTGTTACTGAAAATGTCGTGGCATCTTTTATTGAGAATCTTGAATCCAACGAGCTTCTAAAGGTTAACCTTTGTTTTCATTGTTTGTTTGTTTTTTTATTATGTTTCTGTTAATGGAAGTAGGATTGGTGAAATGAGCACAAACATGCATAGATTTGTTATGGAAATGGTAGAATGTAAGAATTATTTTCTGAAGTTGGAAGCTTTAAGGATGAATTTCCTGTTGCATAAGTGAAGTCATTAGGTTATTCTAATCAATATAAGAAAATTTCAGAAGTTTTTTGAGTTCTTAATGAGATATTTCTTATCCAATGAAATCTTAGTTGTTAGTACTTGTAAAGAACTGCATTGTTGTTAACAGCCTATTTGTTCTATGAGAAGCTAATCTCGTTTCATTTCTCTTTATAGAATGCCAAACACCCCACATCCTAAACTTATTGCGAATTGGGAAAATCACTGACTGATAATAAAATTAATTTGTAGCTTTTTAGTGGGAAATATGGGGAGGGTTGAATAGAATCGTGTTCGGTGATAATTGAGCTAGATATTTATCTGACGATTCTGCTACCGGCAAAAAGTAGTAGGAATTGGCTGGCTAATTTACTTTTGTTCAATGTGTGAGTTATTATGCATGTTTGATAGAAAGCTTGTAAGCAGCTTCCATTGTAGAGTCTCTGGTTTTGTAAAACGGGTTAAGTCAAGAAAAGTTTTTGTTGCTAAAATTTATACGGACAGTGTTTAGGATAAATGGTGTTAAATTACAGGAGATCTTCTGCTTCCAATAACCTGGGATCTTTTGTTGACGACATGCTGGTGGCTCCATGGCAGGTGTTACATAATCAATGTTAGCTTTAGTGAGGTGCACACGGCTAATTCATCATGCTTATTGGGCACTTCCTCAATTCATACATGTAGATGATGCTATTTTGGCTTGTGTTTCTAGTTCATCACATTATCTGCTTCTCTCTATTGAAACTGTTGGACTCTCCATTTGTTATACTAGTGAAGAATTCAGAGCTCTTTGACATGCCAGGCTAACACTTATGTTTACTTAAATGGTATAAATAGATTAAAGTTCTCGGAACTTGTCCTGGGGAATTTGAAGATGTGGTGAAGCAATTGGAGGAAGCAACTGGTTCTGTGGTGGTTGGTCAAATTGGTCGGACTGTCATTATATATAGGCCAAGCCTCACCAAATTGGAGTTAGAGGAGAAGAAGAGACAAGCTCGTAGAGTTTATGTGAGAAGAGAATCAAAATTTAAGCCTACATTACCAGTAAGAACAAAGATAACCCCCTATTCAGAATTCTTTGACATTCTTTTGTTTTGCAGATAATTGGTGTTGCCCCTTTTTCTTAATCTTTCTAATTGTCTATTTGATGTTTGCATGCAGAATGTTCGAGTGCCACGACTTTCTGGACGTGGACGTCGGGGAAGCAGCCGATTCTGAGCTCAAACTCCCTTGTCTATCGTTTCTTAGAACTCTGTTTACAGCAGCCCTGGTGCTCACATATGGGGATCTCTTTATCTTCTCATACAAGGACTTTGCTTGTTTGAGCTACTGTATCTGGGAAAACTCATCTTGGACTTCCTGGTGGCAAATATATCCAGAGAGACTTTTGGTTATGGAAGGGTGCATATGGCTAATCCCAGACCAGATATGATTTGCATGTGACAATAATTGGTTCAAAGACTGCGAGGTAGGTTTTATGTGATCCTTTTCGGGTGGAAATATTTTCGTGTAGTCTATAATGTATGTACTTAATATTTGCTTCTGAACAGCAAGAGATTAATTGCCAATGAAATTAGGTGGTCTCATAATATTTTCTACCTCACCCTGAATAATGCTAAAAATTTCATACTTAATATAGAAGTGTTAGCTTAAGCTGAACTTTCAATTAGTAGAAGCTGTTTTTCTTTCTGTTATAGCAGAGGGGTAAGAAGGTTGAAATACAATCACCAGTGGTTCTGCAACTATGATTTGCTATTAAGGATAACATCTAACTGCTTCAAGTAGTGCATTGATTCTCCTCTTGGTTTCATTTGAGGCAACAAAGACTTATGTGATGAGATCTTTGGCGAATAGAAAAATATATGACTGAGTCTGAGTATGCTTCATATCTGTTGTATATAAGCGCAAGCATATTCTAAGACTAAGCAGCTTTCAGCTTCTCCAGATTATGCTGGCTTAAATTTTCAGAGAAAAGTATGCCGGTGGGAGAAAGAAGGCGTTGGAGAGCGAGCAAAAACCGAGCCTGAAGATGATATGAAACTTATGCATTCAGCCAAGTTATGCATTGATACACCAAATGAATGTGCAGAGGATTTCAAGACTTACCCATTGGAATCCTACAAGTACAAACCAGCAGCCAGGCAAACCATACCCTTTGGTACTTACAAACTGGTAAATCGAAAATCAGGCGAAAATTATTAGTTGCTCAGAAATTAAAGAACTTTTAGTATAGATTATAGGCAAATGAAGGATAGATCTTTACCAACAGTGCAAGAGCACCCAATGAGAAACATCCACTCATTGATAAGCTAACAAATTTAAGATCTCGTCCAGCCTGCACAAATAAACAGATATAATATGCTGGAATCTGAACTTAAATACATGGACATATAGNATGAGGTGGTCTCATAATATTTTCTACCTCACCCTGAATAATGCTAAAAATTTCATACTTAATATAGAAGTGTTAGCTTCAGCTGAACTTTCAATTAGTAGAAGCTGTTTTTCTTTCTGTTATAGCAGAGGGGTAAGAAGGTTGAAATACAATCACCAGTGGTTCTGCAACTAAGATTTGCTATTAAGGATAACATCTAACTCCTTCAAGTAGTGCATTGATTCTCCTCTTGGTTTCATTTGAAGCAATAAAGACTTATGTGATGAGATCTTTGGCGAATAGAAAAATATATGACTGAGTCTGAGTATGCTTCATATCTGTTGTATATAAGCGCAAGCATATTCTAAGACTAAGCAGCTTTCAGCTTCTCCAGATTATGCTGGCTTAAATTTTCAGAGAAAAGTATGCCGGTGGGAGAAAGAAGGCGTTGGAGAGCGAGCAAAAACCGAGCCTGAAGATGATATGAAACTTATGCATTCAGCCAAGTTATGCATTGATACACCAAATGAATGTGCAGAGGATTTCAAGACTTACCCATTGGAATCCTACAAGTACAAACCAGCAGCCAGGCAAACCATACCCTTTGGTACTTACAAACTGGTAAATCGAAAATCAGGCGAAAATTATTAGTTGCTTAGAAATTAAAGAACTTTTAGTATAGATTATAGGCAAATGAAGGATAGATCTTTACCAACAGTGCAAGAGCACCCAATGAGAAACATCCACTCATTGATAAGCTAACAAATTTAAGATCTCGTCCAGCCTGCACAAATAAACAGATATAATATGCTGGAATCTGAACTTAAATACATGGACATATAGTTAAAGTAAGAGCATTGTACAGCCGTAAATTTTATGTTCATATTTGATTAAGAATAACAATAATGTTAGGTCCATAATCTAATCTTATAATCTTCTTTCACAACCCTCGACATAGCAGTTTGTCATTGGTTAGCTCGTAAACGGGCAAGTGAGACCCAGGCGGACCCATTTTGCAATCTGACTAATGACGAGTTGTCACGTTAGGGGTTATGAGAGAAGGATGTGAGATTGAGTTGTAGACCTAGCATTACTTTAAGAATAAAAGCTAAGCGCAACTCCCTCTGTGATAATAGACTGAAAGACTGATCTATTTCTATTGGAGTGATTTCGATTGGCTTATAAGCAAGCAAACGAGATGCAAAAAATAAAACAGATGATGAAAAGATGCAGGAAAACTGAATTTTGAGCTTAATCAAACATACCAGCAAGGTCCCCTCAAGGCTTAGAATGCAGGGCGTCACGAATAGTGCAAGAAAGTATGGTACCAGCACTCTGTGCATCTGCATGGGCACAAGCACATAATATCTAGCAGAATCAGGCAGTTATCATCACTATTTACATGAAAAAGACTATCGATTCTCACTGCATTCAACATAAATTTATAGAGGATGGACGTCCTCATGACAGATCAGTAGAACCTATTGCTGTAATTCATTAACCATTGAATCACTCAAAATTTGCAGTGGCAAATGGAACAACTAGCAAACAGTAAATGTACTTAAAAAGTTAAAACAGGAACTAACCTCTCTTACGATTGTCTGATCAGGTGTAAAGAAATTGGGGAACAACATAGGTACAGATGTTCCAACGGCCGCTAAAAACAATCCAAGAATACCTCCAATGATTACAAGGGACTTTAACAGCATCCGAGCCTGTTCGAAATCAGAACTCAAATTCAAGACTGAACACATAACAAAACTTAGGAAACAGATTTTGAAACAAAACTTATATGTCAAGTATCTTGTCTATAAAGGGAAGGAGAAGATGATGAATTCCACACGAAATTACCAAACTCTCATTTCATGCTTTCAATACAACTAAAATTTTAAAGAAGAGGATGGCTGTAATGACAAATAGAAATAAGAAGTACTAAGTAATAACCTTTGCCAAGCTCCTTTTTATTCCATATAAAAACTCAGGCATAAATGATTGTGCCGTTTGAGACAGAGGCTCACCCCAGACTGAGCACATTAGGAATGTTTGAACCATGACCTGAGTGGCAGTAAGTTGTCATTATAAATGCCATAATTTTTCATGGATATGGAGAAAAACAAGAAAATTAAGTTTCCAAAAATACAAGGGTTAACACAACTAACTTGATGAGCAGCCAAGGTGAGTGTTCCCATCGATGTAGCAAAATATGTAATGAGAGTGTAAAAGGCCACCTGATAGACCAAAACCCTCAGATTCATATGAATAACCAATTATGGGTAAGTAAGCTCTAAGATCAGGAGAAATTAATATACCTTTGATATCATCATTACAAATACTGGAGCAGCAAGGCCAAATATTTCCAAAAGGTCATCGGGTGATGGAACGGAGAGTGCAAATCCGTTGTATCCTTGCTTGTTTAGAGACATAATCATCATATAAGCGGCAACAACCTGGAATGTGTCGTATGTTATTTGGTTAAAGTATGCAACAACAAGATTTGTGATAGCAAAAACTAACCATAGATGATTTATCTTGAAATATTCATTCAGCTTACTTGGGACACCATTGTTGCCCATGCAGCACCGGCTATACCATAGCCTAAGAAGGTGCATAAAACTACATCACCAATTCCATTAATAACACTGGCAGCTGCCAAAGCCTTCAAAGGTCCCCAGGAATCTTTCATGCCAAGACTATCAACATAGAGAGAAAATCAGAACAAAAAATTATTGAAGAGTAACATTTATTCAGCCACTTCAACAAAATTAACATTGTAACCATTAGACAGCTACTGGGTCTTTCCATTACATGTTGAGAACTATTTTACACCAATGCTTGACGGTGTAACACATTCATTAGATTATTTGGAGGAAGTAACTGTATATTTTTACCTTGCACTTTGAGCAACCCAACCAATAAGAACTGCAGGCCATGCTAAGCCTCGAATCTACCAATAGAAAATATTCTGTTCAAATAAAATATCATCGAAACAAATCAAAGCAGACGATAATGTCACTGTTGAAGTGCAAAAGAACAATCAGTTCTACAAGAAGCCAAGGAATATCAAAGAAAAAATCTCATAACAATAAAAAAAATACATCATAAAAGATGCATAGGTAAGAGAATTCAGAGAATAATTACATAACAATCATTTATTAACCGAGGAAAACATGCAAAATTTAGGAAAAAGCAAACAAACCTGAGCATATGTGTTTGCCGCAGGTAAAATATGTGCATTCTTTGGTCCTGCAAAAGCTGAGAAGTAACAGGAAAAATGCAAGAAATAAACATTTGTTAATTCTGGATAGACAGCTATTGCAGATTCTCATTATGCATGATGTGGCGTTAAACAATCATGACAGAAAACCATAATACAATTAATCACCATTAATGTCAATCTGTGACCAAAAAAGAAAAGAAAAAGAAAGTTTTACCAGTTTCTATTACCAGTTAGAGCCTGTAAACCAAAGAATTTAGTAAATAGAATCATCAAGAAGCCACAAGTCAAGCCAACAAACAGCAAGATAGATATTTGATGCTGCACTACATTTTTATCCTGTAGAAATTCTTTTGTGTCAAAGAGTGCAGCAGATAACATAAAAAGTCTAATGGAAACAATCATTGAAATGGCATACCCACCACACGAACTATAAAATAGAAAATATATATTTCAACAATAGAAAATAATTGAGAAAGCAAGAATAATGAGAAAATACATATGTTTCTGTGCTTTTTACCAAGCACTTGAGACTAGTTCAGACAAGAGCAAATCAATTGTAAATAAAACAATTTCAAATGTTTGAAAACTAACCTGTTTGGTGAGCGAAGTGGCCACCATATTTGAAGTGGAAATGGAGAGAAACATGAATATATAGCTCATATTGTCACACAAAACAGTTCCTGGACCTGCTCATTAAAAAAACAATATCAAGCCTAGTTCTAGTTGCAATAGTACAACAAGAAGTAAAAACTTTCCCTTTTTGTTTAAATTTTTCCCATCAATCAAACAGAAAATTTCAGATCAAGCGACAATGTTGAAGAAGTACCCAAAGCAGCAAGCTCAACAGAGCTTCCCTGACCAATAACAGCAGTGTCAATGAGACTCATCAATGGCCCACAAATCCAAATCCCAGTGGCGGGTCCTGTAAACATCATGATCTCTTTTATTTGATTCCATAAACTCTGATTTGCCAATCCATCTGTCTTCACCTCCACTGCTTCCTCTTCTTCTTCATCTTCTTCTTTTGACAAAGAAACAGAACTGTTGTTACCACCACTTTCACTCGCAAGTTCTTCATTATCATCAACAAGTTCCTGGCTTGAGCCAATGCAAGGTGTTATAAATCTCTTGTGGGAATGTTTTGGTGTAAAAATGCATAGTTTTGAAGGTAAAAGAGAGGGCTTACAACGAAAAGATGATTTGTTAAAGGAGGTTAAAGATTGAGAGTGTATTTTGAAGTGGGTGGTTGGTGGAGAAACAAAATGGTGAACTAGAGTTTTGATTCGCATTTTTCAGAGAGAAAGTAGTTGGACTAGAGAGAGAAGTTAAGACCAATAAAGAAAGAACAACAGTTGAGAAACTCAAGTGAGAGTCTTATATGCAAGCAGTTTTAAGTCAAGGATTTGTTGGACCTGGCGGCTTGAGTTTGGCTCCATCTCCACGTAACTTAGATTCAGGTATCCCAAAGCAGATTAAAAAATGGTCTAGTTTTATTCATAACAAGTATGAAAAATCTCTTCTCCAAATAAAAATTTGACATCTTTTTAAGAAGGTTTTTGATGATAAATTTTTTCTCTTTCGACGATCTCCAATAACCCTTATATGATTTTTGTCAGATGAAGTGATGAACATATAAATAACGTTATATCTTTCCACTATTAAGATGCTCTTGTCCTCTATAAACGTATATGAACTGTCAACAATTCGATGGTGAAGAAACTGAACGTGTTACTCCTCGTTCATGTCGGTCCCTTGGGGGAAATTCAAGCTTGTTAATTTACTCAAAGTCACTGCCAGCATCTTGGGATCTCTTCCTTTGAGAAATAAACTAAGCTACATGCATCCATTCCTGTCTCTCTCTCTCTCTCTCTCTCTCTCGTTAATAATACACAGCAATCTCAATGTGCGTTATGTGGTTAACATCAATGATAGATACGTTTATCTTTTTTGCTCTGGGAGAACTGGAACTCTACACGTCAGAATTTGTGTTTGTGGTTGTACATAAGGACACTGGTGCATGCGTTATCAACTCTTGTCTGCTATGTGTCTATTGCTGTGAGTTTTCCCATTTGCATTCTAATTGGCTTCATTTAGGCAGTTTGAAGGTTCGCTTGAGACTTTTGGGTGTATTACTCAAGAGGTTTTGAATTCGAATCCCCACGATTATTAATAAAGGTAATCATTATAGGCTTATTTGACTGTTAACTTCAGAGGCCCGAAAGACTAATTGAGATATATGCAAACTGGCTCGAACACATCTGGATACCACCCCCAAAATAAAGAATGACTAATTGGCTTCATTCATTATATTATTCTCTGCGTAAATAAACTTTCTTTCATTCTTGTATTGTAAAAGAATAATTTACTGTTACAAGAATTAGTCTAACAAGAGCCGCCTGCTAAGAAGAAAAATAGCTGGAGGCGGTGTGCTGTTTATGCACTTAAGCCTTATGATACCTTATGCTATTTTTCTGGTAATTTAGTTTGATTCAATGGTGAGAAGTAAGACATTCTATCTTTTGGAAGAATGTAGGATTTTGATACTGTTTTGTAGTTCGATGTGAATACCAAGACTAAGCAGCTTTGAGCTTCTCCACTTTATACTGGCTCATATCATCAGAATATAGTATGCCGTCGGGAGAAAGAAGGCGCCAGAGAGAGAGGAGAAACCGAGCCTGAAAAGAATTAAAATCTGTTAGTTTAAATGAGTTTAAATGCAAGTTTACTGAATATGTGACTGATGGATATCTCTTAGTCTTACCCATTGAAAGCCTGCAAGAGCATACCAGCAGCCTGGCAAACCATATCCTCTACTGCTCACTAGCTGGTGATCATCACAAGAATAATAGAACACCAATGATGAATGGAAAATCCAAATAATGTTAATGATAAACAGAAGAAATAGATACCTACCAACAGTACGAGAGCACCCAAAGAAAAGCATCCGCTCATTGACAAGCTAATAAATTTAAGGTCTCGTCCAGCCTGCACAAAGAAAAAGATTTTTCTGATGCTAGATTACAAGCTAGAAACGACTAGCTGCATGTTTTGTGTTAGTTCTCATTTTTTTTTTTTTTTTTTTTTTGGGTGATCGGGGGTGTCCGGACTAGTTTGCGCGCACTCAACTAATCCCTTGGGGCCTTGAATTTGACAGTCGGGTAAATCCCCTTAATGGCCACCCCTATTAGCAACCCAGATAGATCGAACTCAGGACCTTTTGAATAATACACTTAAGAGTCTTAGTTATCTGCTGAGCCACCCAATGGTGGTTGTGCTAGTTCTTAATTGTTGATACGTAAATTCTGTGAATGAAATGTAAAAATCTGTCACTAGTAGCAATTATCTCTTGAAGATTATACAACCCCTGATGAGTAACAATTAGACCTTTTACTATCTCCATTAAGATCTCAGATTCAAAGTTTGAAGATAAACTTGACATACCAGCAACGTCCCTTCAAGGCAATGAGTGCTGGGCGTCACAACTAATGCAAGAAAATACGGTATCAGTACTTTGTGCATCTGCATGGACACAAGAATAATATATCAGAAAAATCAGACGCTTCAAGCTTAATTTGCTTAGGACTGTGAATAAAATTATTGCTTTCTTGAAGAATTCTCAGTTTTATCACTCAGGGCTCTCACAAGATGAATAAGGGTCTAAAATAAATTTCTTAAATGATGGATAGATAAATCAAAATGATGTTGAATCCATGGATTGGTTTACTTAAAATTGAGCTCAAACTTTGGAAAGGGCTGAAAACAATTAAATTATAATGTTTCAGCAAGATAGCAGCAGAAAGTAGCTGTATTTCCATTCTGATGCGCATCATTCCGTGCCATGCTCAACTACAAAGGTTCAATATTATCCAGAACAGGATGATACTACAAGAAGTAATCTATCCCTTGCTCATTACATCACCATACCATTTATAATTTATTGCAAAAAAGTAGTCTCGAAGGAAGATTAAAGATTTCTCAGAAGTTCATTAAACAAGAGCTCACCTCCTGTATGACACTTTGATCAGGTGTAAAAACATTTGGGAACAACCAAGGAACAGAAGTTCCAATGGTCCCTAATAGCAGACCAAGTGTTGATCCAATGATAACAAGTGACTTCAGGAGCATTCTAGCCTGTTTAAAGTCATGAAAATTTCAGAATGCTTTGAACAAAAAATATAAATAAAAATAAATCCTGCAGTTAGGATAGGAAGGGGTATACCTAGGGGTGTAATCGAGTCGAGTATCTGGTAAATCGAACTCGACTCGATTGCTACAGTATCGAGTTTAAGTTTAAGTTCAAGCATGATCAAACCTAAGAAATCAAGTTCGAACTCAAACTCGGTACTTGAAATTGGAAATTGAGTTTGAATTCAAGTTCGTAAAATCGTGTTTTTTTCGAGTTTTAATTGAGTTCGAGTTCGAACTCGATTTCGAGCTCATCTAACAGGGGTGGATTTGCAAATTTTATAACTTTTAAATTACATATGACCCTTATTACTTTAAAAACTATTAACTTAACCATCGAGCTTGGAAATACTCACGAACATATCGAGTCGAGCTTTACTGTGATCGAATTTGACTCGATTAACTATTCGAACTCGAACTCGACTCAACTAATGCTGAGTCAAGTTCGAGCCAACATCAAGTCGAGTTCGAGTAGTTCGCTAGCAGCTTGACTCGATTTTCACCCCTAGGTATGCCACATAACATTTGTGCCCCACTAGAAAATACATCAAAACTCCTTGTACGTCATGAGTTTAGCAGAAAGCTGTAACCTAGAAGTAAATAAGACGTCGTCTGTGACATAGATTCAAAGAGAACAAAACTAACCTTTACTAGACTTCGATTAACTCCATGTATCAACTCAGGCATAAATGATTGTGCTGTCTGAGAAAGAGGTTCACCCCATACCGTGCACATGCTGTATGTTTGAATCATGACCTAATGTGAACAGCAAACGTTCTTAAATATAATTTACCGTCCATTTGACAATGTGAAGAAGAAAGTAACTAAAGTAACTACTGTGGGAAGATCTAACCTGATGAGCAGCCACAGTGCTTGTGCCCATAGATGTAGCAAAATATATAATGAGAGAGTAGAAAGCCACCTAAAACATCAAACGCCTTAGATTCAAGGACAGATAATCACATGGTACCGAAAATTGCTATAAATCAACTCCTATGTTACCTTTGCCATCATAGTAATAAACACAGGACCAGCGAGCCCTAGTATCGTCACAAGTTCATTGGGGGATGGAATAGCAAACGCAAAAGCATTGTATCCTTTCTTATTCAGAGATTCAACCATCATATAAGCTGCAACGACCTAGAACACATAAAACAGCCAAAAAGGTGACCGATTTTTTGAAATGCTAAGAATGTGTAATCTGAATATATGATCTAAGAAATTTAAAAAAAATATAAGAAATCCTGAAATGTTCATTTAGCATACCTGTGAAACCATTGTTGCCCATGCTGCACCAGCAATACCATAGCCCATAAAGCGGCAGAGAACTACATCACCAACACCATTGATGACAGTGGCAGCTGCCAATGCTTTCAAAGGACCCCATGAATCTTTCATCCCAAGACTGAGAAATGGCAAGAGGACGTCAGAATACACAATTAAAGAGGTAACAACTATTTGCAGCTTATTAAATTAAGAATGCTCTCAAGGAAGATGCTATCTAATAAAATTGATAAATTGTGGAAAGAAATATAGTGTGCCTTTGCACCTTGCACTTTGAGCAACCAACCCGACAAGAGCAGCTGGCCATGCTAGCCCTCGAATCTACCAACAGAAAAGGTTTTGTCAACTTAAGTAGCCAAACAAATAAATGAAGCAGAGGAAGATCTTATAAAAATCAATTAGTGCCCAAATTCCCATTCAACTAGTAGAAAGGCAGAGATCAAGAAGTATACTGAACAACAATCAAGTAATAACATGAATTAAGAATTATTTCGTGTAGTTCTTCCAACATACAGAAATAGATAATGGCTTTATTTTCCTGAGAACAACTTTATGTTGCGAAATGGAGCCAGGATTGTGTTCACAGACACTAGTTGCCATAATAACAGATTCACAAATAAAAGTTGAATGCAGGCCAAATTCCATTAACTACTTAGGGAAGTGAATACATAAGCATATACTTTAATCTAATGCTTATATTTTTAACTGCATATGATGAATTAAGATTCATGGAAAAGTTAGATAATAATTTTTCTTGACAAATGTTCTCAAGGTCTAAATTAAATAAATCATAATAAGATATATGTGAGCTTAACTAAAGTAAGAGATAAAAATATAAAACTGCCCTTTCCTTCCTGTGAATTGATTTAAAGTGCAATCAATTAGAAGAAAAATATATCTATTAGTACAGGAACAGACAGCACAAATTAAATTAGACAAAGAACAAATGTAAGATTCACAAGATAAAACATGAACCTGAACATATGTATTTGCTGCCGGTACAATGTGCACATTCTTAGGTCCAGTAAAAGCTGAAAATGCAAGAATAGCAAATCCATCATTTATTGCATCACCACCACAATTCTTTCTTTCTGTTCATAATGTAGGATCAATGAAAGTCTTTACCAGACTATATTACCAGTTAGTGCCCATGAACCAAAGAATCTTGTAAACATAAACATCAAGATGCCAGAAGCCAAACCAACAAAGAGTAAAACAGATATTTGATGCTGTGCTGCTTCTTTATCCTGCAGCAGCAATATTTAGTCAAATGATATAGCCTATAATGTAGCAGAGCAATTATTAAATGCATATTATATCCAATCACCAAATCTTCCATAATCGAAAGAAACAAAGGAAGAAGAAAAGAAAAAAAATGTAAAAGAAGCAATACAGATAATAAGATGCAACATAGTAATACAATAAGTTGGTATCAGGATGTAATAAATGTGAAAAATATAAGTTTTTAATCAATACATACACTTACATGGTATTCAAATTTCATCCTAATACACAAACTATTAAGAAAAATGAAAGTGAGATAGCAACTCCTATTTTGAGAATTTTGGGAAAGCATTGATATATGTGCTCTCTCATACTCCTTATTTGTTGCAATCAATCATGGTCAGAGAAAGCTTTGTAAGCATAACAAATGACAAGAAGATGTTGCACAAACAATATTGGTAGAACTAAGGCCTAAAAAATAGTCAAACTATCATTTCATTAGCAGCTCCGTTTCTGGCCTGAATTAGCATGCTTTGCTAGGAAATATACCTCACACCCTATGCAATGAAACCAGAGGTGCAAGCACTTACGTGCATTTTCTCCCCTTCTAGTAGAGGAGTCAAAAAAGGTTAAAATTAAATAAAAAGTAATGCCTTTGAAAACTTATATCCATGTTCTAGCATATAAGCAATAATACCCTCTAACAGCTCAAGAAACTAACCCGCCTGGCAAGGGAAGTGGCAACCATATTTGACGTAGCAATTGAAAGGAACATGAACACGTAAGTCAAGTAATCGCAAATCACAGTTCCTGGACCTGCTCATCCATATCCATAATTACAATGATTCATTACTTGAGTCAAAAGAAATAAAGGAAAAAGAAAAGACCCTCCATATGCTGCTTGGATTTTGTATTAGCAATAGTTGAGCAGATTCAAGAAAAACGAGTACCCTTTCAGGAGAGAAACTTAAAATCTAATCTTCAAAATCCTTCTTTTCCTACAATTTCTATGAATCACAAGATAAAACGAAAGAATGCCAGTGAAGTTTCCGAGAAATCACTAAAGCACCAACCTGTATTAATGATTTTTTAACTGGCATTGTTGATAAGACTCTGTTCTCACAGGTAAAAGAACTCAAAAGTAAAATTAAAAAGACAAAAATACAAATTTTCTTCCCAATAAACTCCTTTAGCAGTAAGCTCAATTAACGTTTTGTGTATTAGACACACTAATCCAATCCACAATTACAGCTTTAAAAGAAAAAATTATTTCACCACATTTTTTGAGCAAACCAAAATAAAATGAAGACAAAAAAAGAAACCCAACCGAAGTTTTCAAACAAATACCTAAAGCAGCAAGCTCAATGGAGCTTCCTTGACCGATAACTGCAGTGTCAATGAGACTCATCAGTGGCCAACATATCCAAAGCCCCGCTGCAGGTCCTGTAAACATCACAATCTCCTTCATTTGATTCCATATACTTTGAGTCTCCAACCCTTCTCTCTTACCCGCCATTTCTTCTTTCACTTCTTCTTCTTCTTCTTCTTCTCCTTCTTCATTTTCACATAAAGAATTTGAATCAATTGATTCAATTGTATACTCATTTTTAAACAGTTCTTCGCCAGAACTAATACAAAAAGTTCTAAATAGTTTGTGCTGAATCTTTGGAGTACAAAAACGCAAACTTGGAGGCGAAAGAGAGGTGTGAAAGCGAGAGAGAGCTGGGGTTTTGTTAAAGATTACAAAAGATTGAGAGAATCCCTGTAAAGGGTTAGTTAAAGTTAGGGTTTTGATTTGCATTTTGTTTTCAAAATCAAAACTTGAAAAAGAAAAAGGGTTGTTCTATTTAGCTTGTTTATATAACTCATACATGGAGAAGAAGGAGAAGGAATTAGTTGGTTGGTGAATGGTGGCGGCTCTTGTCTGTGTAATAATAATAAGAAACCTTCCATATCAGTAACTGATATAACGTCCTTAAACGGTCAACTCCTCAACCCTTTGAACCTTTCCACTTACATAACTTCAAATACAACACAAAGCTTAATTAACTAGCTACACTTCGATAAATCCGCTATTCAAGTTTTACTTTGGTCTAAAAGTAAAGATTTATATTATAATTTTCCACCCAACTGCTAACTAATTACATGGACATCAACAGATTTGGCTCGTTTTACGTCATTTAGAAACTTTTGTCGTCATAAACGACTTTCATGGTTTTTGGTGTTGAATTATTGATTGTTGAAGCCGTGTTCCTTAATCTTTACTAATTTCTTACACTTGAGTTGAGTGTACGTTCAACCAAATTTGAGTTCGATGCTTCTGTAAACATGTGAAGAGGAGAAGCTCCAAGTGGTATCCAGGGAGACAAACAACCTTCACAAATTGATGAACTGAGACAAAACCATCTTGTCAATGTCTTTTCGCCACGTGTGCCGACACATGATTGAGTTCTGTGAAACAGAAGGCTGGCTGCTGATGGAAATCTGTTGTTAGAATGAAAAGAAAATAATGCAAATTGTGAAAAAAATTGATAAGTCAAAGTAGTTCCTTTAATGCTGCAGATCATCTAAGCTACATTTCTGAAATGGGAAGATTACAGAAGGAGCTACTTGCTAGAAACCTGACACAATTGCAAAACTTGTATGATAAATACAGAAGGAGAAACATATTATTGACTTGGGAAAAAAACAGGTACAGCTTGTGGTTGTGCCTTGCTTATGCTCCCAGCCTCATTGAGGCATTAAAGAATAATCTCAACCTGATCTTTTACAGCTTCGATACAACGAATAATCTGTGGTGTCTGAGTCTGTTTATCGGCAACAAGAGTTGAACTTGCATTCTTGGAAACTTTTTTAAGTCTATATTCTCATTTACTGAATTTAGATGTTGATCTTAAACTTAAGCAGCTTTTAACTTCTCCAGTTTATACTTGCTAGGACCTTCTGAGTGAAGCATGCCATTAGGAGATAGCAGGCGCCAGAGAGCGAGGAAAAATCGGCCCTGAAAGAAATTTTGTGAAGTCAGCTTAACTCCCAAGGAAAAAGTTACTGTATATCAGTACTGGGGATATATTTTTTTTACCCATTGAAATGCCACAAGTGCAGTCCAGCAGCCTGGCAAACCAAGTCCTCCTTTGTTCACAAGCTGGTTATAAGAAAAACATAAGGGTTATATTCATGCATAAAGATAGCCAGACAGTCTAGGAATGAGTACTGAGATATAGACCATCACCAACAATAAAAGAGCGCCCACAGAAAAGCATCCGCTCATTGATAAGCTCATAAATTTGAGATCGCGTCCAGCCTGCACAAGAGAAACAGATTTTCTGATGCCATAACACGAGATTCCATACATTATCTTTCAAGTCAATGCTCCTAAAATGAAGCATGGACTATTAGGCAGAGAAAATCAGAGGAAAATACTGGAGAACACAACATACCAGCAAAGTTCCCTCAACACTGTGAGTGCAGGGTGTCACGGCTAATGCAAAAAAGAAGAGAATCAACACTTTGTGCATCTGCATAAAAAGAAGTTAAGTGTGAGATAACCAATAATCTATAATTAAAATTCTTACTCTGGGTTGATAAGAAACATACTTGTAAAAGTTCAGTAGAAAACTAACCTCTTTTATGACCATAAGATCAGATGTAAACATATTTGGGAGGAACCAAGGGATAAATGAACCAACAGTCCCAATCATCACTCCAAGTATAGCTCCAATAATCATGAGCGACTTTATAAGTGTTCGAGCCTGTTTAACATTACAAATCCTTTCAGAACATTTCTGACAAATCAACTTCATTAGAAGAATAGTTGTATGCATATCCATCACTAACCTTGTCCAAACTTTGGTTAACTCCATATAGGATCTCCGGCATGAATGATTGCGCTGTTTGAGAGAGCGGCTCACCCCATACGACAAACATGCCATAGGTTTGAATCATGACCTGGAGTGAATATGAAGTTGACAGTGTCATCAGTTACTTAATTGGAGACAGGAAGCTAAAGCAATGAAATAAATTATTAAACTAGTGTGAGTTAAACCAACCTGATGAGCAGCAACTGTAAATGTGCCCATAGATGTGGCAAAGTACGTGATGAGAGAGTAGAAAGCCACCTGAAACATCAAAAACTCTTATTGAGTAACTGCATTGAGTTTGGGTTGATGCAATAATGGAATCAGGTAGAATGTAATCAACCTTTGAGAACATTGATACAAAAACTGGGGCAGCAATTGCAAATATTTGCAGAAATTCATTTGGTGATGGAATAGAGATGGCAAAAGGGTTGTATCCTTTCTTGTTTAGAGCTTGAATCATCATATAAGATGAAATAACCTGGAACGTATTCATACGCCAATCAATGGAAACATTAAGAGAAAGAATAAGTGCATTATCTTACATGAAGTATGCATCGAGGTTCAATAAAAACAACAATATATGAACTATCTGAATTCTAGTTCCATACCTGCGACGTCATCGTTGCCCATGCTGCTCCAGTAATACCATAGCCTAACAAACTGCACAAGATCAGATGACCAATGCCATTTACAGAAGTGGCAACCACCAAAGCCTTCAAAGGTCCCATTGAGTCCTTCATGCCAAGACTGTGAATAAGAAGAATAGACTTCAGCACACATTCTAATTAACTAAGTATTGTTCACGGTTTTATTAATCTCTGCAGTAAGAGTTCTCTATCATCTCAAAATTAATTATACTAGTAGATTTCAATGAGCGCAAGCATATCTAAATTAAAGATCATTCAAGCATGTGAGAGGTTACAGCTATTTGCACCTTGCACTTTGAGCAACCAGTCCATAAAGAACAGCAGGCCACGATAAGCCTCTAATCTGCCAAGAAGATTAGGAATGTTAAAATATAAAACATCGGTACAACAATAAAGAAAAAATACCGCAAAAGAAAGAAAGAGCAGAAGAAGTAACAAAGAAGAAGATGAACCTGAACATATTTGCTAGCTACAGGTACAAGATGCGCATTCTTTGGCCCAGCAAAGCCTTAAAAAATTAGATATACAAATTCATCGGTCAGTGAAAGTCCTTTGCTATTTTAGCTCCATTACAGATTATCGTGATCTATAAGTAGAAGTTACTGAAAACTGCACTAGTCTTTCTTACCAGTTAATGCCCATGAACCAAGGAATTGGGTAAACAAAAGCATCAAGACACCACAAGTTAACCCAACAAAGAGCAATACAGAGATTTGATGCTGCACCTCCTTTTTATCCTGCACCAAAAACTGTCTAATCAGAATTGCAACGTAGACCATAGAAGATTGAATGCTAATCACAATGGTTATTTTTAGTTTTTAAGTATCAGAAAAAGCATGCGCAGGTTTCAGAAGCAACTACATGATTATGCAACCTAAATTTCTTAAGGCATTCAAGAGAACAATATAGCCTGTATTAATGGCCTAATCAGGTTCACATTTTCTTAATCAAAATTCTGAATTGCGGAAACAACCAGATGTATACTAATCACAGCAATGACTAAATCAGTTACTGTACAAATGAACAGTCCCCTTCAACAGATTAAGTAAATAATTACCCCTTTGGCAAGTGCAGTTGCAACCATATTCGAAGTAGCGATTGAAAGGAACATGAACAGAAGATTCATATTATCGCAAAATACAGTCCCGGGACCTGCTCATTCAAATGCATGACAAAGTTATAAATAAATTTGTAGTTACTCCAAGGCCATTTCTTGGAAATGTTTCTACAGAGAACACTTTTATAATGTGTAAAAGCACACCCCTGAAGCGCTTCATTTCTTTCTGGGGAATTAAGTGCTTCTCTAAAAAAAATTCTTTTTGCATATCTCAATCAAACATGTTGAAAGTCCCCAAAATGGTTTTGATTATATGAAAGTGCTTTTAGATGGCACCAAAGATCTAGAATCTAAAACTTCAGTTCTCTCAATTTTCCTGGAAAACAAACAGAAAATAAACTTTTCAAACTGAGTTATATAAGCTACCTAAAGCAGCGAGCTCAGTTGAGCTTTTTTGACCAACAACAGCCGTGGATATAAGACTCATCAGAGGCGCACAGACCCAAAGCCCCGTAGCGGGTCCTGAAAACATGAGAATTTCTTTCATTTGCGTCCAGATACTCTTTCCTGCCAATTCTTCTCTCTTTGATCCAACAACTTCAACTTCCACTTCTTTCTCTTCGTTAGACAATCCCACAGCCCCATTACTGCTACCTCCGTCAACAACGTCCAGCTCCGGCTCTTCATCCACTAGTTCTGGGCTCGAGCTGACGCATGAAGTTATGAAAGAAAGTCTTCCATGACTGTTTGGTGTTGAAATGCGCAAACTTTTATAAGGTGGTTGGGGTTTGAAGAGAAATAATAATGATGATGAAGATGAGGGTTTAGAGAGAGGTTTGAGATAAGGGTTTTGTAGAGGAAGTTGAGAAGACCGAACTAGCGCTTTGATTTGCATTTTTTTTCTGGTGAAGATTGTGAGAGTAAGAAGAAGAAGAAGAAGAAAGAAGAAGAGAGCGAGCGGTTTATATAGTTTGGTGTTAAATTTTAGAAGGCTTCAGCTGGACTTGTATTTGGGTTCTCTCCGGTTGCAGATTTCCGGTACTAGTTTAATTAGATGTAAAATAAAATAAAATAAAAAAGTAATAGCGTAATTTATTTTTTTTGTCACCGGAGTGTTTGGACCAGTTTGCACGTACCTCAATTAATTTTTTAAGACCTTAAAGTTAATAGCCGGATAAACCTTCGATTGTCACTCCTATTAGAGGTAAAGATGGATTAAACTTAAGATCTTTTGAGTAATATATCCAAAAATTTTAGTTGATCGCTCAATCACTTAAAGATAGTTAATAACGTAATATTCACTCACGCTCATAATTCGATTTCTAGATGCTGACGTGGTAGAATATAATAGGTCACTTGACTAACTACTCAATACGTTAACCGGAGAGAAGCTAACAGCT